AAATAATAAATTGAGCTATAGCAAGACTCATCTGGTTGAGTGAGGTTTGTGCAGCACCAAAAGGAGGTCACCCAGGGGATCAGCTTGTTTTTCATTTCCTTAATGTCAGTGTGGGGTGAGTGTGACGCCTGGAACGTGACACATTAGAGCGACTGAAATCAGGTTGCTCCCACCAAGCTCTGACTAAGCTGGGGAGGAGCTCGTGAGGCTTCACACCGTGAAGGTCCCCCTGGCCCCTCAGGAGGACACAACCACTCGGCTGAGGGCACCAGCCCTGCAGGTCAAAGCCCAGCACATCCATGAAGCTCAGCACCGGTGCGAGATCTGTGCTGGCTCCTTCACCCCAAGTACTCAACTAAGAGGTGGGAAGGAGAATCCAGGAGGTCCCTGTATGTCACTGGAGGATGGGCTGAGTTTGGTGGCATTGTACCTGCCCGCAATAACACTGTGGGTGAGGGCTTGCCATGAACCACCCCACTCCTCAGAGTTTTGAGACTGTCAAACTACTTTTACCCCAAAATTCTGATGTGAGAGGTTATCTGGGAATGGATCTGTGTGAAATAACCACGTTCTCATCAGACTCCGAGGAGAGGAAGGAGTAACAAAAGAGGCCACCCTTGCACTGAGAAACCCTGGACCTCCAGGGAAGCAACTGCATCCACTCCCCATGCTCCCACTGTGCCAACTGTGGCCATGCCAGGATGCAGCATGGGCAGGAGACTCTCTGAAGAGAGAGGTGGCTTGTGGCTGGGTTAAAAGGGAAGAACAAATGGGATGGGGATGGTACAAGGAAATTTTAAGAGAATTAGACAGAGAGGAAATGTTCTTCCTTATTATAATTTAAGTCCGTGCACTTGCTTAATTAACTGAATGTATGGTGCACAGTATGCAGATAAAAAATGCACCCAAACTATTTTTAACACAGTTAAAAAGGCGCATTAGGGTTCTAAATTCTAAATAGGAAATGCAAGAATTATTTTGGTTCCTGAGGACACAGCTTTAAAAGTGCCTGAATCCAGGATGTTTTCTTGCCACTGCCCCAAATCCAGGCCCCTCCTCTTCAGAGGCCAAGTATGAGCAGCTCACCCACAGATCAGCAAATGGGCTTCCAGACACATCAGGCTCTGGAGGTGCCCACTGCAAGTACCTTGCTTAGACTGGCCCAGAACACAGTGGTCCCTCCTGAAATAAAATCACTTTCAAGTATTGCAGCCCTTCCAACTCAGCACCTCTGAGCACAGGACAGGTTACAGTAACCAAGGTAAAAGGGATAGAAGGAGGAAAAAAACAGATTATTCAAAGAAATAAAATCAAATCATTTTGGAAGCCAGCTGCTTCCTTGTGCACAAAACTGCCTCAAGATCCGAGTGCTGCTGCATCCCTCAAAAATCCTGATCTGCTATTTAGACACAGCTCAACTTTTCAAGTTTCAGCTCAGCCTTGAACAGAATGAGGCCACGTGCTGCATCATTAAGGATCTGCCAAAAAAAAAAAGGGTGGGGGGAGGAATAAAAAAGAAAGATGATGAAAGAAATACTGGAATACCGAGAGATGATGAGATAGGGGAACCAGAGTCCACCTCCAGCCACACTCAAAAATGGGGCCCACCAGGCTCAGCTGTCCATGGGGCAATGCAAAATATATATTACATATGATCTGTATACACACAGCTCCCATGAGCAGGTCACCCAGTTGTGTCAGTGTAGGAAGAGCTTTTAAGTATAAAAATGCATCCTAACACAAAAATATAAAACTGTACTTTTGCTCACAGCACTTTTAGAGAGGTAACATTTGAGATGAGACCATGTTAATGAGTTGGAGTTGAGGGTGAGGAGGGAAACGGGGGAGTTTCCCTGGTTTGAATTTCCCTGGTTCCTTGTGCATGAAATGGTGTGGAAGGGAATGAGTGACAACAGAAAGAGGTGGGGGAATGAAATCAGATGGATTGGATCTGGGATGCAACATTGGAAATAAATGCAACCTGCACGGGTATCTCAAGGCAGAGCATCGATCACTTGGTGCAGAACCTACCTGGGAGATGGGCCTCTGCAGACAGGCATTTGTCGGAGGTACTGACCCAGAGGCACCTCTCATATTTGTTAAAGCATCTCCATGCTGGGAGAGTCCCTACAGTTTGTGTTCTGGCATTGGGTGCAGGGAGCAGCACAGTGGCCTCGGAGCAGCTCCACACCTAGAAACGCAGCTGGGTCTATAAGCATCTCTACAAGCTAAAAACCCAGCCTTGCACGGTCACAAACTCATTCACACTGGAAATAGCTCCTAAAGCTTCCTGCAAGAAAGTCCCTGTGAGCAGCAGGAGCAGAGAAATAGGGGTGCTGGCAGGTGGGGTTGGGGTGGGGTTCTGACTGAGCCCAAGACAGTAGCAGAACAAGGCACCCTCATCCACAGTCTTTTTCAGGACTCCCATTCCTGCAGCATGGGAGCTAAAGGTGCTTTTGTGCTCAAGGCTTTGGCACAAAATGGGGTTTGGGGCAGGAGGAGACAGAATGACCCCAATAGCACAGGTAGGGCACTGCACCGGCCATCGGGACATCTGGATGGTTCCAGCTCTTCCATACAAACTTTATGACCTTGAGCCAGTCTCATCATCCTCCCATATCTTCAAATATGCAGCAACTAAGCTTTTTATCTGTCCTGGCTGGCTGGCTTAGAGACTCCCAGTTACAGAAACCCAGGAAAGCCCCTCCCTGCCCCATTCCAACACTCACAGACCTGACACAGGCCATGTCAGACTCACCCGGGCAGCAAAGGCTGATAACTGGTGCATGAGCTTATCCTGGGGACTTTGTATGAAGTTTACCAAATCCTTCAGCTCTTTAAATAACAAAACAGAAACTGCCAAGGCTAAACCTATCGTAGGTACAGTTCAGAAGACTGGAATTCATATAACTTCCCAATAGACCATAAAAAAAATAATTATATCACCAATGCTTCACAGACGTTGGGGCAATTCCCACTCCAGCCCTGAATTCAGCCTTTCTTTCCCAGCAGGTGCATGGGTGGGGATGGTTTTCAATGGCTCCATGTGTTGTCACAGCAGACTCAAGTAGAGTCACGAGCCCAGAAGAAACACAGCTGCTTGGGCTGGGAGAACCAATGGGCACCCCAGCTTGGCACTGGGAACAGATCTGTTTGGGGTAACCCTGCTCCTGCCCTGGGAGCACTCCTGGCTGCCCAAGCAGAGAGCCAAATAGGTCAGAAGTTAAGATACAGTAGCTGAAGAAGCCAAAGTTTTTTATAAAGCTCTTACAGTCAGGGCTACCCCTGCTGCTTGTCATTTGGCTTTCAGCCCCTTCCATCTCTATCACTGCCACCCCAGTGTCCCAAGCTGGGCTCTCACCTGTGTTTCACAGTGTACAGTGCACGTTGCACGACATCCCCATCCCTGGCACACGCACAGGGAAGCTCCCAGCTCACAGCGTGGATGCTCGACCCCTCCACACGATTCTGGAAGGTTTTGTGACACAAACCACCTACAACTCCAGAGGATGGCCAGGAGCATGAAGGATGCTCAGGGTGCCCAGGACTGGACCCATCATAGCTGCAACTGAGCTCCACAGATGCTCTCTCTTCTCCTCTCCTGTTTCCCTTGGGGCACAAGATCCCCCAAGGACCTGAACTTGCAGTAGTGCAAGGAAAAGCTTCCCTTTCCACCCAGCCAGGATCTCACCTCTCCGACCAGTCCCACTAACACCTCCCTGGAAGCCTCAATGTACAATGTACAAAATGGCTGAGGACCAGAAAGCACATCCCAACTCCTTATTTTACAATAGCATAACACCAAAAGGATGGCAGGGGCGGGAAAAAACAGAAAAGGCCCCAAAAATCCTCCTGCCGGGGCTGACAGAGGCCCTGGCCATGATGAAAAACACAGAAACAAAAAAAACCCAAACCAACCATTGACACCAAGGGCATGAGCACCCCAACCTGAGCCCAGGCCTGCAGAAGAGCCTGGTGGGACTGTGGAAAGTCCCAGAGGGAAGGGAGTTGCAGTAACACAGCGATTTATCTTGACCCTTTGCAGTCCTGGGAACAACGGGAAGTCATCTGCTCTCCTATGCAGCAATGCCTCAGAGATGGGCATCCTTCTGCCAAAGGAGGGTCAACTGGGCCATTTCTGCCTAAAACCCGGTGCCGGGGGGGAGATGTGCACCCAGGGATGCTCCTTTGTTTACCGCTCGGCTCTGTGCAGGCAGGGAGCCCCAGACACTGATTAGCATTTCTTTCTAGACACATCTCCACTTCAGCCGCTTCCCACGGGGGGACAAGAAATACCTCCAGAACCCTGAGCAGAGCCCCAGAACCAAACGCATCCCCAAACCCTCCTCAGCCACCCAACGTGCAAAGATGGGGCCGGGGAGGGGAAAGGATGCTGGGGCGGGGGGAGGGGGGGGAGGAGAGACAGTGCCTGAGCAGAGCTTTTTGTTCCTCTGCTCTCAGCATTGCTATGGTGATTTCAAGCAAGACGGAGGAACAGTCGCTACCCGTCACTCCCGCTGCTCCAGCCCCCTGCACCGACCGCATGAGCAGCCCCTTCCCCCGCAAGCAGGAGCGGGCAGGGGGAACAGGGTGCATCGCACCTTTCCGAGGAGCCACCCGCCAGCTCTGCAGGGGCAGCTTCTCCCCCCCACCTCCCTCCCCGCATGGAGATCGCCGCCTCCCGCCCCGTCCCCGGGCACCGCCTGGGCTGGGGCGAGGGATGCAGGATGCGGGATGAGGGATGCGGGATGCAGCGGCGGCCCGGTCCAGCAGCCCGACTGCTCTGGAGCGGGGGAGAGGCTCAGCCTCCGCCCCCCGCAGCATCCCCCGGGGCTCCCCAGCCAGCCCTGGCACCCGGCATCCCCTCCCCGCACCCGCTCTGCAGCTGGAGCATCCTCCCTCCTCGGCGCATTTGGGGGGCTGGGAGGGGTGGAGGAGGGCAGACCGAGCAGAGGGGGAGTCTCTGCCATCAGGTTTGCCCCCCACCCTTTTTTACTCACACGTATGCGTGGTAAATGAAAGCCCATCCCCGCGGTCTCTCCAGCACATTGTAGAGGAAATTCTGCAGCTTGCGGTAAAAAGCATTCCTTTTGGGGGGCTTCCCGCTGCCCGAGACCCCGGAGCGGGGCTTGCTGAGGATGCTGCCCCGCTTGGAGCTCTCGGAGCCGGCGATGAGCAGCGCTCCGTCCCGGCTGGAGTCCGGGGCGCCCGGGTCCAGCCCCACGAAGCCCACCTTGAGCTTCTTCTCCGCGGCGGGGCCCGGGTAGACGCCTCCGTTGCGGGATTTCTGCACCATGGTGGCGGCGGGGGGGAGGGCGGCGGGGCCGGGGGCGGCGGGGGGCTCCGGCGGGGGGCTCCGCCCGCGCTCCCCGCCGCTGCTCCGCACCCGGCGCAGCCGAAGCCGCAGGAGCCGCTGCAATCGGCTCCGCCAGCGCCGCCCCGCCGCCGCCCGCCCCCTTAACCCTTGGCATCCCCCGCCGGCGGCAGCATCTCACGCTCCCCCCCCCTCCGCCTCCCAACTCCCCAGAAACCCGGGTTTGCCACCTGGGTTTTCCCCTCCCCAGCCAAAAGAAGAAAAAGCGGCTCCGGCCGTTCCCCACCAAGAAAATCAGGATCTGGCATTGTTCCCCAAAATGCGTTGTTTCCCCCTCCAGCATCCCCCTCTCAATTTAAGGTCCGACATCTTCCCCCAGCACAGTGTCCAGCGTCCCCTTCCCAAATCAGGCTATGGGATCCCCCCAAAAATCACCAAGGAGTGGGCTCCTTCTGCAAGAGCCCCATGGGAAGGGCTGGGCAGCACCCTGCCCATGGGATGTCCATCCCCGTGGATTCGATGTGGCCCCTCTGGCAGCGGGTGCAGACATTGCTGCAGCTTCCCAGGAAGGACTCAATCCATGTCCCATCTCCACTTGGCCACTCGGCCACCAGACCTGCTCACCCTCACCACAAATCCCGATGTGCAAAGTCATTCCCTTTCTCCACACTTCCTGAAGGTTCAACCTACCACCTTAGGACTTGAAAACCTAAATTTTCAGCTTCCTTTATGCCCTGAAGCTGCACCATGATGGGGTGGGGTCACCGAGTTACCCAGGGACCAAGCTCTCAGCATAGAATGCCCATCTGCAGATGTGCTGACCCAAATCAGCTCTTTAACACCCCACTGCTTATGGTCCAGCTGCACCATTTCCTCTCCATGGCTGGTTCTGCCCCAAGCAATACTTCCTCCTGACCTTCCCACCTTCACAGGACTCAGGAGAAGAGAAATAGGCTGCAGAAGCCTGAGGTAGGGCAGAGATACCTGCCCCACACAGTTATCCTCCACGGAAAGAGTTCATTGCACTGCAGTGGGAAGACCTGCAATCAAATAAGATCAAGCCCAGCATCATCAATTCCTATGCAGTGACTTTTCTATCCCTTACAACCCAACAAGTCACAGATAATTTCTGAACTGCACACCTCTGCATGTTCTTTGTAAGTAAACAAGGCTTTAGGACAAGATTGGTTTTTTTGTACATGAATTGCAAGCTCAGATGAGCTGCTCCTTTCATCACAAATACCTCAGCACAATATTCATGGAGAAGCAGCAAAATGGTTGCCCTCAGTTTCCTGGCTGCAGGAACCATCCAGGGCTGTGTTTCATTCCCTCTCTTAGCAGAGTCAGCAGTTGGGAAACCAATCCTGCCACTCTGTATTGTTGCCAGCTTTTCCTGAAATTCATATTTAAATGAGAAAATCAACATGACCTTCCAGAGTGCACTTCTCAAGTCCTGGCTTTTTGATCCTCTCCTAATTCATGAGGAGAATCCCAGTGACAACTAATGGACAAGAGGAGAGTTGAGATTAAAGCTGCTGCCTCTCACTCCCCAACCCCTACCATGAACGTTAAGAGCAGGGCCAGTGAGGAGAAGCTCTACATTTTTTATGAACTGTATGTTTCCTGTGACCCATATTCTCTCCAACACATGGCTCAAAGAGAAGCCATCTCTGCAAGGCAGGCAGAAAACTAAAGCTGGGTTAAATACTGGAAAAACAGATCTGCAAGTATGTCAGCGAATAAATTACTCAATTCAATGAGGGGCCATTCTATTCATTATTTGTGAACACTAGTAAGATCATTAGTGTTCTTTAATAGGGTGGCCAATTACAAATGTGCCTGGCACTAATGTACAAAGTGCATTATTATAGATCCAGTGACGCAGTCCCAAAGCAGGAAATATCCCCCTCCATAAAAAGGCCAACAACAAACAGAGGAAGCAATTTTCAATTAACAAATTCAAGATTACTAATAGTCTGTGAGCCCTAAAGAAGAATCTAAATTCAACGCACTCCTCTTTGCCTAATTAGTTGGTCATTTGCGATGTCTCACTGCAGCACAGCTTTGGGTATCCTTTATCTCTGAGACCACCAAAAATCAGGAGTGGGAAAGGTAAGGGGTGGGATTTCACCCTTCCCAAGGCATGGATGGGCTGAGGAAAGACATGCTGTGTTTGTAGGCACTGTCAGGGATTGTTGCATCACTCGGGAGGGAAGCAAAACCTCAAAGACAAGCAAGGTCTTGTGAGCAAGTGGCATCAAGGATTGCCTCCTTATGTAAGCAGAGCAGTCCTTGGGAGGTAGAAAAGGCCTGAAATTGGGGATGAGGACCTGCTGTAGCCTCGCCCCTTCTTTCTCTTCACCTTGGACTCTTAGGGCGCCTCTAACTCCTTCTCTATGGATAATATTCCCTGAGCTGGCAATGCAAGTTGTAGTTGAGTGTTCAGAAGCACATGATTGGGACCCCAAGCACGTGGCTTTCCACTTTCCGCCCCCACACGCCACTCCAGCAGCTCACAGGAGCTCTCCCTTGCTCCAGTCTGCACAGTGCCTGGTGAGCTGTGGCCCTGAGAGGAGCAGCAGTCTCATGGGAACAACTGGAACACAATCATAAATCGAGCTGTGATGTCCAGCACAGAGCCCGCAGCAGGTAATTTTGGAGATGAAGTCAGTTGTGTTGTCACTTCTGCTGGGTGGCAGAAGACAGGACACAGCCATTAACACTGGGAATTAATGAGGTATATAAAAGCAGTACTGAGAAGGTGCTTTTATTTGATCCAAGGACATTTTGTCTCCACAAACAAACAGAATTACTGAGTCAGTCCTTTACTTTCAACACTAGTGATGGCTTCAGAACACAAACACCATGGCAGATAGCTTAGACCCTGAAGGTCTAAGGATGAAATCCATCAATCCATATTAAGATACAGAAAGTCCATGCTCTGTCCCCTGGCAATTTTTGAGACATAGTAAGAAGTGACTGGTGTGAAACATGTAGAATGACTCCAGGGATAAATTTCTGCTTGAAACACTGAACGAGAGCCCTTTCTCCATCCCCACCCAGCTGGTGGTTTGTGTGAACTGTGCTACCCGTAGCCTGGGTTTTGTCACTCACAGCTTTCTTCCAGAGCTATTTTCAAACCCTTAAGCAGATGGTTTTACCTCCCCTTGTACAGGATGCTGCAACATCCCAGCAACACTAACCTGCCAAGGGAAAAGACATGAACAGCTCGGTCTTTCTGCACCCAGTGTCCCCCCATCTCCTTCTGCTTCAGCTACCCCTCGCCTCCCACCACCTCATCCTCTTCTCTGAGCAGAAAACAGCCTCCAAGAGCCCATGACTGTTGATTATTCATGTGCCTTACTTGCTTGGCTAAAAGGGACTCCTTCCAACACATGCCAAATCATTTTTGGGTTTGAAACCAGCAGCCCTGACCCAAGAGAGGTTGGTTCATACAAGGAACTCCACCTGGAAGGTGGTGCTTCTTCAGAATAAAGTGGAGCCCACAGGGGGGAAAAAAACTGTAAAAAAGATAATTCATGTGCACAAATGGAGAAATCTACAGATTTCCAAAGGAGAAAGGTGAATATGACAAGGGGATACACACTTCTGGCTAGAACAGAAGGCAATGCTCAGTGAAGGCTTCAGCATTTGGGATGGGGAGATTTGGGCACAGCTTAATTTTCTTTAAAATTAGAAGCCTAAACAGATAGTGGCTCCCCAGTGACTCCTCCTTCTCCCTCCAAAGGAGATTTTAAGCTGTATTCTCATCTTTACTAGGCATAGGAAAAGATGCCCATGAGAGGCCACCCCTCCCTGCCACTAAAAATCTTCAATCAGAATTTGCAAGAAACACGCTGACAAGAAGCCAGGCTTCCTTCATCCTGCTGCTGACAGAGCTGCTTATTTTATATTACATATTTATTGAATGCAAAATTTCTGTACCACCATCCATCTTCCTGTTCTTAGACAGCACTGACCTCCTTGGAGGCTGTACCAGAAAAACCCAGGACAAATCCTGCTGTATGAGATCAGCTTGAGGTGCAGCTGGAAGTGTCTGACTGTATGAACAGAAATCTCCCCAAGTTACACTGAATTCACCTGGAAGGGAGACACGTGCACTCCATTCTTAACTAGGAAGTTTATATTCCTCCTTTCTAAGAGTGATAAAAATTGTTGAGCTCTAAGTATTAATTTGTGCTGTGGAGGCCTCACTGTAAGGAAAACCAGTTTCTGGAAAGATCAGCTACTTGACTGGGCATGTGGAAGGAGAAGCAAGTGGAAAAAAGCAAAGTTGGGGTGAATTCTCTTGAGTTAAACTGGATTACACTCAGAGCACCCACAAAGCTGAAAATAAGCCCCTTGGTCACACAGGGACTGGTGCCCACCCTATTTCCCCTGTCACCTTTTTACCACTTTGCTTCTGCCCCACTCAGCCTCCTATAGATTATTCCCCTGGCAAATTCCCCACTGACCAGGTCTCCTTCCCCATCTCTACTCTCCACGCTTCCATCATCAGCCTCCAGCTCCGTCTCCTGCCCTCACCTCCTCTGAGACCACGTGTAATTCCCTTTCTTCATTTATACTTGTTACCTTGAAGGTATTTTTAGCCCATGACCACGTTGCCCCTGAGCCTTCCTTTTCCCAGACTCTGTAAATTTAGCTCTCTTAGTCATTCCTCATGTCTCCCAGCGCTCACATTCTTCCTCCTGACCTCCTTGGTTTTCTGCCTCCTCCTGCACCCACAAGGACCAAAGCCACGCCATCAAAGTTCCATCACCTCTGTGCTCTTAGACCTCACTCCCTGAGATAAGGCTGCTCCAGGACCTCCTCCCATACCCTGAGGGCCACAAGTTCCTTAGGGGTGACCCCTCAGAGATGTGGAAGACTTCCCACCAGCAGCCCCTTTCCAGTGCCTCCAAACCAGCGCTGTGCCCTTCACAAAATACAGCTTATAGCAACAAAACTAACTTGGTCTCACC